CTTCGCCTCGTTCTGCTGCAGTTGCAATCGGCAATCAGCCAAGTCTTTCTCGGTGGCTTCCAATCTCTGCGCCACATCACCGGAACCGGACTCCAAGTTCGAAACTTTCTGAAAACATTTCAGAATTCAAGCTACTGAATTTTGGCCTCAACTTCGTTCTAACCAAGGCACCAAACCGATAACGAATTTATTGTTGAGAGCAACCAATTCAAAAAATATCCCGAGGTAGAATTCCCAATAAAAGTAAGCAACCTGAAGTGTGGATTTGAAGTCTGCACTCAACTTCGAAATACAGATTCGCGCATGCGCAAACAGTTCCTCATCGTACGGCTTATCTGTTCCGTTTTCCATATTAAACTGAAATTTGATTAAAGATTAATAAAAAGCAGCTGACAGTAGAAAGAAAAAAAAAGAGAGCGAAAAAAAAAAACACAGTAAACATTTTCAATCGTCGAAATAACAGCCACTGAATAAACAAGAGAAAAGAGGACATGGAACTGGTCTGACTATCAACATTTACTAACGATAATGAATTTTTAAAGTCTGATTTTCAAATCGAAACCCCTGTAATTTCATGTTTCGAAAATACAAAAGATATGGGACTAAGAAAAACACTCGGGTAACAGCACGGTATATTAACAAGGGACGAAATAAGAACCAAAAAGGTGGGAAATGAGAATTACGAAATTAGTAAAATTATTATAATGGTAAGAAATTTTTCGGTCCATTAAGTCGTATACATTTCTTAACATAACCACTGCTGGACCTCGTCAGTACGACGACTGCGGTAGTTGAAGTTAGTGGAAATTAAACTTAAATTAGTTGTGTAACGCATTTTAGCAGAAACAGAAAATATTATAAAAAATAAGTAGCAATGTGATGGGGAAAGAAGTTTCGACTGCACAGTAAAGGTTATGCAATCGAAACTTACAGTCTTAATCAACCGTTCCCTCAAACTGGCTTTCTCACCAATGAAATAAGAAAGTAAAGCAATTCGCCTCTGCACTAAGCTTGCAAGTTCAGAGTTATAACTGGTAGTTATGGCTCTAATAAAGCCGTTACTTCGTGCTGTTTTATGCTTATCTTCAAGTGATGATACTACACTTAGCAGCTGTGTAGCATCGCAAAGCCGGCTTCAAAATTTTCTTCACAATATCAAGCACATTCCAACCTTAGCTGCATTTGCATAATTGCTGCCAACTTCAGATAAATCCCTCAGCATCGTTTGCATAGCATCAGTGATACGCTTCTTCTGCGCAACGCAACTCTCACGTAACGTCTCCAGTTCCGCAGTTAATTCCACAATCTTCACATTTTTCTTGGACAGTTCATCCTGAAAAGCTCCTCTTGCAATTAAGAGCACCAAGCGACCTGCAATGAAAAACCCTAGCAATCTTAAAGAAAGGAGATAATTCGCGGCTTGGCAGAGGCCTCAGTAACAAGATTCCGTAAAATGTCCACTGCAGGGAATGGAACTTACACCAAGCTGTTCGTTCTCTCGAGACTTCTGATCTGCCTCCTGCGTTTTCATATCGTAGTT